AATGAAAAGGACAATTAAACCATTTTTATTTCAACTTTGCATCATTTTACATAATCAAATATTACATTACATTACATTAAATTTAGCTGGCGCTTTTATCCAAAGTGACTTACAATTACCAATTACAGGGACATTCTCTATTAATGTTAGATATCTTTATTTCAGTTTGGTGATACAGTCAATTACAGTAACAACCTTCGACAAATGGTTTAGCTATTTAAACATTTCTAGGCATGAAGCTGTTAAAAGGTTTTTGCTGCAAAGTACAGTGACAGTTAAAAGTGACAAAACTACATAAAGCTAACACTATAGTAGAGACAAAAATAAGAAAAATACCCTGACACACTGCTATCTGTTATTGCATTCTCATTCAAAGAACAGTAAAAGACCACTTTGTAAGATAGCTGTTCTTTGGGGTGACTTTTTGTGAATTTAGTTACTATCCTGTGCCTCCAAATAATTGATATTTATCACACATATTGAACCAACTTTTTTTTCAGCAGTAAACCAGAATCCAATGGAAAATCCCTTTTTTTTGTCTAGGGAACCTGCGCAACACTAACTTCCTGGTTGGCCAGCGGTTACACTGTTACACGTCATCCCTGCAGCACGCTCTAGCTGCCTTCATGAATATGCATGACTTCCTCTTTCAGCCCATTATGTAAAGAGCCAGCAAGCAGAGAAGTCAAATATTCGTCAAGCACACAAACACACACACACACAATTCAACTATAAAAACTCTCCTGCTCTCTGCTTACACAACAACACACACACACACACACACACACACACACACACACACACACACACACACGCACACACACACACGCACACACACGCACGCACACACACGCACACACACACACACACAGTCTGCTGACCTTGTAGCATACAGGGTCAATAGCCCCCTTCCAGTCCATTAAGTAGTTGTTGGCAAGGTTGCTGGTTTTTGTGAATAATGCATGCTGTTGTGCAAACATATGCAAGGTTTTGGCAAGCCAAGCATCACCACATGACAGACTGAACTCACCCAGAAATGAAAAAAACTGAATAAACTGAACAATTGTTAGATTACATTACAGTCAAGTAAGCTTCTTTCCAAAGAGCGAAGGTCAAAAGACATTTTGTGGCGACATGTTGGCCGAGTTTACAAGCAGATAAAATGTCCCAAAACAAACAGACTCAGGATAATCTCACTTCCTGTTTTTGCCAGGAACAATTAGGCCAGGTGAAATGTTAATCTGATCCAGCTTTGTAAATGCAGCGTCAGCGGAAACATAAAAAGAAATCAAGGTCAGATGTGTCTCTCTGTATGTTATTGTTGGATTTTGGTTTTGCAACTCAGAATCAGAGGAGGAGATATGTGTGGATTTTGTGTTCACAAGCTCAAAGGGACAATAGCACTGAAAAGATACACATCCTTACTCAAATGTTGACAGCCTGATCTTAAATGAACCCTTCTCCTGAGTAGCTTTTCGAATAACCTTACAAAAGGTGTACTTATAAGTACTGCTAATGGTCCAATATATGTTGACAATTAAAGATAAACTCAAATGAACACCTTAGTCCAAAACTTTTGTTGGTTAAAAGAAAGGAATTATGATGGTGAAGATGATTTAAAATGTGATGATACTGCAGAGTTTTCAGAAGAGCCAAAGTCCTCAGGTCAGTCTTAAGCAATCTCTCGGTCAGCATTTTCTTCTTCTTTCTGTTAAAAAAAATTAGTCCCCTTAATTTATATGTAAGACAAATCGGCATTTGCAGCAGTTGTTATTTTTCGAAACTCTGTACAGTTTAATGATCACTGATAAGAAAACAATATACAGCTTGAATTAAAAAAAACAAGTGCATCAGCATGGGAAATCTTGGAATAGGACTAACTTAGATAAGTCAACATTGATGGTCGCTTGCATGACACTGGTTACAGAAAACGAGCCTAACAAGGGACTCTGGTTCATATAGTTTGGGATTTGTTTCCACCTCAACAACCAGCATCTCCTCATACATTCTTTGTCAAACATGAGAGACACAGCAAGAGGAGAGCAGAGGATAGAGCTGCCACAGGAGCAGAGAACAAATGTGTAAAATAATAGATAACTGTTGTGATGTGCGTCAAGGGCAGCCGTGTGTTTTGACATTCAGTATGTTTGTCCTTGGAATTTCCCATCAACTCTTCATCCAATTGACTTCCTACTTGGCGAATGTATTGTTGAAAAACCAATGGAAGAGCATTGTTGAGTGCATGTTCTTTAGAGCTACTAGATGTATTTATAGTAATATTGTATGTAGACACTGTTCAG